TCATCAGCCAATTCAATTCAATCCACGTGATGTCAAGAAACAGTTGGAGGTATTAGATACTGCAGAGGCTTTGGGCTTTGACAACATTCTGGCAATAGCACTGAAGACTTGTGCTCCAGAACTTGCTGCTCCCCGAGGCAAGCTCTTCTAGTATGGTTACAACACTGAAAATGTTGGAAAATTGGAAAAAAATCCAACCTAGCCAGTTACTGCTCTATCAGTCTACTCTCAATCATCAGTAAAGTGATGGTAGGTTCATCAACAGTGCTATCAAGCAGCACCTGCTCAGCAATAACCTGCTCAATGACGCCCAGTTTGGGTTCCACCAGGGCCACTCAACTTATGATCTCATTGCAGCCTTGATTCAAACATTCAAAAAAAGAGTTGAATTCCAAAGGTGAGATGAGATAACAGCCCTTGATATCAAGGCTGCATTCATCTGAGTGTGGCATCAAGAACCATAAAGAAACTGGAAACAATGGGAATCAAGGGGAAAACTCTCTGTTGGTTGGAGTCATACCTGACACATAGGAAGATGGTTACGGTTGTTGGAGGTCAGCCAGCTCAGCTCCAGGTCATCTCTGCAGGAGTTCCTCAGGGATGTGTCCTAAGTCCAACCATCTTCAGCTGCTTCATCAATGACCTTCACTTCATCACAAGTTCAGAAGTCAAGAGTGTTCACTAATGATTTCACAATGTTCAGCACCATTCACGACTCCTCAGATACTGAAGCAGTCCATGTTCAAATACAACAAGATTGGTACAATACCCAGGCTTGGGCTGACAAGTGGCCAGTGAAATTCATACCACACAAATGCCAGGCAATGACCATCTCCAATAAGAGACAGTATAACCAATCCCTTGGACATTCAATGGTGTCACCATCACTGAACTGCTATGAACATCCTGGGAGCTTATGATGGACCAGAAACTCAACAGGACTCACCATATAAATACAGGGGTTCAAGAGCAGGTCAGAAGCTAGCAATACTGCAGCGAGTAACTCACCTCCAGACTCCCCAAAGCCTGTCCACCATCTGCAAGCACAAGCCAGGTGTGTGATGGAATACTCCCCACTTGCCTGCCTTCTCAAGAAGTTTGACATTATCCAGGACAAAGCAGCCCACTTGACTGGCACAAATCCAAACATCCACTCTCTACACCATGGAAGTTCAGCAGCAACAGGAGATACAATCTACAAGATGCACTGCAAAAATTCACCAATGATCCTTAGACAGCACCTTCCAAATGCATGACCACTTCCATCTAGATGGACAAGGGCAGCAGATACAGGGTAACGTCACCACCTCCAATTTCACCTCCAAGCCACGCACCATCCCGACTTGGAAACATATCATCATTCCTTCACTGTCGCAGGGTCAAAATCCTGGAATTCCCTCCCTAGGGGCATTGTGGGTCTGCCTACAGCACATGGACTGCGGCAGTTCAAGAAGTCAGCCCATTACCACCTTCTCAAGGGCAACAAGGCACAGACAATAAATAAAAAAAAAACTGAAAGAACTGAAGAGGCTAGAAACCAGAAAGAGAATCAGAAATTGTTGGAAAAACTCAGCAGATCTGGAAGCATCTGCAGAGAGAAATCAGAGGTCACGTTTCGGGTGCAGCGACTCTTCTTCACAACTGATGGTAGTTAGTAAAAGGTTGGTATTCATGCAGACGATGAGTTGGGGAGAAGGGGAGGAGAGTCAATGATAGGTGGAAATAGAGCCCAAAGAGAGAGAAAAACACAGTTGGATAGACAAAGGAGTGGGTAAAGGTCAGTCTGTGGAAATGGATAGCTGCTAATGGGGACTAAAGGGGACAGACAATAAACGCTGGCCAGACAGAGTTGCCCATGTCCCATGAGTAAATAGAAAAAATTAACCAGTTTCTTCCCTCCTCTTTTAGCTTTGGTGTACAGGTGGCTGATCCAGTTCAGTTTCTAATCAATGGTATCTTTTAGGATATGAACTGTTGGGGGTTTGATGATGGCAATGCCATATAATTTCACAGGAGGAATGGTTATGCTCTTGTTTGCTGGAGATGGAAATTTGTCTGGCACTTATGTAGTCTGAAAGTTTCTTGCTGCTGACAAGTTTGGATATTTTCCAGAACTGCATGCAGTTACAGACTGCCTCATTATCTAAATTGACGTGTCTGTGTGTCTGATTTAAGCTCTGATGACTGCTGAATTGGAATTCTACATTTCATTCTGTAACTCCGTAATCCGGTAATTTTGGCTTGCATATGATCAATATTTTTAATTGTAGATTTAGGCACTTTGTAAACTTGAGACAAGAACATTACATTTGATTTCTAAGTTCCGTGTCTCCATATCAAAAAATTAAAAAGAGGATATCCTTTAATTTAGACTACCTTAGTGCTGGAATTCAGGAAATTGATTCCTTACAAATTGATTGAGATCCAGCATTCAAAAATCTTGCATAAGGGTGAGAATTCCTCTAATGAAAGATTCTCAAGCTCTTAAAAAAATGTAACATTTCATACACAATGAAATGATATATTTTTGGCAACTCTGAAATTGGCTTCATTCAACTATTCTGTACTTTGAAGTTATAATCAAAGGATGCAAACCACAGACAAGGAAAGGTGTGGAAGTAGCATTGTATCAAAACAGAATCCAAAAAAAATAGATGTAACACTGGATAGTAGCACAGATAAGACAAATTGCTCATGAGACCTCTTGATCATTGACAGCAGTAACACAGCAGGCCTGTGGAGATCAGTCCATAAAAGGTCTGTTTGTTCTATTAATTCAGTAGCTGCACATCCTTGTTAGGAAGAGTGGAGGATCTGTTTCTAGTTGTTAACTTTCTCTAGAATTAGCAGTCAACTGTTAAAGACCTTAACCAAATGCTTAGTAAAATTTTCACAATTTTCACAGACTCCAACAGTGCATAATCACATGGGTGGAAGAGAACTGTTAAATTGGTCACAAGCCGTCACTGTAATAAAATATGCTGGCTGCCGCTACGTTAGTCTTGTTGTTGACTGGCAGCTCGCCTCACTGAGACCTTCAATTTCCAGAGCTCCTTATGCTATTTAAAGACAGCCTACGCCACTTAATGGGAAGGTGCACTTTGGCTGCATATAACCTGAAAACAGCCAAAGACACTGATTGTTCAGATTAAGCAGCACAATGCTTGGCTGCTGTAGCTGAAGGGGACTATATTACAGAAGCTGGGATACATTCAGAGAGAAAAGTCTTTGATTTTGGCTTAGTGGAGTTCTTCATTCCTGTTTGGCGTGATACACTTAAGCAATGGCTTCACTAACATGTCATTTTAGTTTACAAACTTACGTACAATATCATTACACACCACAAGAAGCACTCCCACTGGGGAATCTAGAACAAGGGACACAATTTAAAAATATTGGGTCTCCCATTAAAGATGGAAATGAGGAGGAATTTCTTCTCTCAGTAGGCTGTTAGTTTTTGGAATTCTCTTCCTCAGTGGAGACAGGGTCATTGAATACATTCAAGGCTGAGTTTAATAGATTTTGATTGAAAAGGGCATCAAAAGTTATTAGAGGAAAGGCTGGAAAAAGAGTTAAGGCTACAAAAACTGTCATGATCTTATTGAATAGCACTGTGATATCAATAGGTCAAACGTGTCACAGAACCTTGAAGGTAGCAGGGCACGCAATGAGGCCATTAAAAAAGCAAATAGAATATTTGCCTTTCTTGGCTGAGGCATAGAATACAAGAGTGAGGAGAATATGCTGGAACTGTACAAAACACTGGTTAGGACAAAACTGGAGTGCAGTTATAGTCATCACATTATAGAAAAGATATCATTGCACAATAGAGGAGATTCACCAGGATGCTGCCTGGCCTGGATGATCTGAGTTGTGATAAATGATAGGATACGCTAGAACTGAGTTCCTTGGACTAGTCAAGATTGAGACGATACCTGATAGAGGTGTATAAGATTATAAGAGGTAGAGATAGGATAGGGTGGATAGGAAGGTGTTTTTTCTGTTAGTAGAGGGGTCAATACCAGGGGGCATAAATTTAAGGTAAGAGGTAGAAGGCTAAGGCAAGAGTTTAGTAGAAACTATTTTGACTCAGGTGGTGAGTCTGAAACTCACTGCCTGGAAGGGTGGTTAAGTCAGAAACTCTCATAATATTTAAGCAGTATTGAGATATTCACTTGTGTTGCCATAGCTCCTAATGGCCAACAGATGGAAAATGGGATTATTCTATTCAAACCTTTGTTGACTGCCCCTGGTATAATGGGCTGAATGATCGCTTTCTACACTGTAAATATCCATCAGTAAAAGTCTAAATGAGCTCCTGCTTCTATTTCTTATGGTCTTATGTTTGATAACAAGACAGTATTCTCTAATCAATGGAACCAGATTTTCCTCTGTATCCCCTGGTTTCTGCAATGAAACATGGATACTTGTACTTTATAAACTTCTGATGCTTTTCAAAAGTAAGTGTTGAAATATGATGTCAATAGTTGCAAGCCAATGAAATAGCCACACTTACTAAGATGAATTCACAAAATAATATGAAACCATGCTGGAGGTATTTGGAAGGAGAATGATCACAATATGTTGATATAATTGTGTCATTTCATGGTTTTGGGCAAAGTGCTTTTAAAGCATTTCTATGACACATATCAAATCTCAATACTGCCAGAATCTTCTTAATGCTCTAATCTACTCCTTACCAGTTTACTAGAAGATATAAAAAGTGGACAGATTTACTAAATTTGATAATGTGTTAATACTCACATAAGACAATATCTAGGCAGCTCTCATTTAAGTTAATCTATTTATCACACAGATCTTTTGACTACACATGGTGAACTAAACTGAAGCACAACAAAAACCTTATAGTAAAAATACATTCTTATAGCACTTCTGGAAAAATTTAGCCATGCTTAGATGTCACCATCTGTTCTCTTCATGTAAAATCATATACATTAGAGAGCAATTATAAACTAGTGATTTGTATACAGAGCACTAACCTGGCATACTCAATTCCAAGTGCTGTCTTTGTCTCATTTCCACCCCACTGTTTTATCTTTTTTGCAGCTTCCACAAGATCTTCTGTTGTGTTGTACTGGTTGAGACTGACTTCATGTGTGACTTTATGGCCATATTGCATAATTCCAACCTAAATTATTTGTGCGAGAAATAACATTACTGCAATGAAATCACAAACATGTTTCAATTCATAGATATTCAGAGAAATCACAAAACAGTGGACCAGTTTCTTACATCAGCAAAATAATTGTGAAGCATTTTGCTGTCCTACTGGTAATTTTGTAACATTAAACATAGTAACCAATATGTTGAGTTGTACTGTTCTAAGGCTGTCCACTATACTCCTCATAGATCGGTAAGTTACACAACCTCTATTTTTGCATAAGACAACTCATCTTGGCCTAGAGCCCAGGATTGGCATTATTACAATCATTCACTAGCCTGGTCTACCTGGTCTTGTTGCAGCTACTGACCTCAGATCTCGCTCCCTTCATTTGAGAAGCTGAAGGTGTCGAAGTAATAGTACTCAATCCAGTTCCACCCCTCTGCCACCATGACCCTTGTAAGAGACATACATTTGGTGCCATGTATGAGTCATTTCATGGAATGTTTCTTGTACAGGTATTTCTGCTATAATGCATGTTTTGTTAATGCGAATGGGTTGTAACACAATTGATGAATATTGGATGCTATTTGGATAATGCGATCTTTCTGCTGTACAAGTCTAGCAATTTTGCTATAACGCAATTTCCTATAGCACGAGGTAACACAAGAACGCAACTGAAACGTTATAGGAGAACTATCTGTAGTGGAGGAAATTCCACCTAAGAGAGCTGCCAGCCAATCAATTGGCTGATAGCTCTGCAGTCACGGCTGAGACTATAGGTAGCCCCTGATTATAAGTGCCTTGATCTCAGGATCAGATAACAGCTGGAGTCATGTCAGAAACAGTAGTCAAGACTCAACGGAGAGGAGACCATGTGTGGGTAGTTAGATGCAAGGGTGGAAAAGCCAAGGGGGAACGGATTAGCTGGGCGTGTGCAAAAATTTTGGGAACGTTTCAAATTAGACAAGTGGGCCCATAGCTGAGATGACCTCATCTTTCCCACCCAAAACCCAAGTACAGTGACCTGTTGAACTTGCCCTATCTTGAGCTGTTGCCACTGGACTTAGGATTGCAACCAGACATGAGCAGCCCCTAAATAATCATTAAGTGGCCATTTAATGGCCTCAATCCAGGCAAGGCCAAGTGGCCTAGGTCTCAACTGCACAGCACCCTATCTGTAAACTTCCAACAGTTTGAGGATGGATGGGTACGTGGAGTGAATAGCACGCCTCCAAACCATTGGCAGGGAACTGTAAAATATTGGCCCCAGATTTTATTGCAAATGAAAAGTCGAAATGTTACAGATGAGTTACCAAATTACACTTCTACATTCAGAAAACATAGCATCAATTATTTTTCAAATTAAAATGAAACATTCTTAATGAAGGGTCATGACTCCTTTAAGAGCTCAGTGTGACTCCTCAACTTAAGTACGCACGCAAATTTTTGCATGTGGTTTTTGGCTTTTGGCCTTGTAAAACATATACTCGAATATCTTTAATAATATTTTATTCCAGCCAAGTGTTTGCTTTGTTGAGACATGCAGAAAGTGATTGAATTTCAGGAGGATGTAGTGATAAATAAAATAAAATTGATGGAAGGCGATGGAAGGCTGCCATACTACTGTCAGCAAAAGCTAATCCAGAAGGTTGTTGTAGTAGATGCCTCTTGGAACAAGCTGTCTTGTTGAGCTTCCTGTATAAGGAACAGCAGCTGATCAAGACCAGATGTACAAAAGCTGCATTTATAACAAGCACCGAGGCAGTAACTTGCATGTCATGGCTGCAATGCTCTTGTCTCTGCTCTTACACAGCATGTAGTGTTTATGCTAAAGGTAGCACCATGGTACAAGAGACAGGGCTTCATGTAAAAATTTATCTTCCTAACATTGGAAATAATATTTACAGTAACAAACACAACAAAACGCTTGTTTCTTACTTACATAATGATATGGGATCAGAATACGTTTCCAGTGCAATTATGCTGTTAGTTATGCAGGGAAGGAAAAATGTTTGGACAATGAAATTAGTACTAGGTTGACACAACCTGATATCATCCTCCCAAGGCCTTTGCATGCATTATGTTCACCTCAAGTATGCAAGAGGTAAAATGCAATTGGATTCAAATGAGCTGGAACAACTCATACAATGTGCCTTCCATCGCTCTAAGTTTTACCAACAATGGGCACATAGATCAGCAGGCACGGCGGGTTACATTAGTTGAAGCAAGAGATTGACAGCAGAAAATTAACTATTGCCACTTTGTTTCAAAAACTTTCTCTGCAGCCCAGTAGTGACAGACAATTCTCTCTTACACCAAAAGGAGTGATTTGATGGCAGCAAGGTCATCGCTACAACTCACTGAAATCACACTCACCGAAGGAAATAAACCAGGGACAGCACTGAGGCCAGTGGATTCCTACCTCTTCCCCACAATCAGCTTCATTACATGATGACCTGTCCCTGTGAGTTCAACAGCTGCAGTTGGTGCCAGTAAAGCAATGGCCTGTCATCTAATTTCCTAGCTTTGCTCTGCAGAGATACAAACTTAATTCTCATTGGGAACTTGCTCATACAATGGGCAATGGTGATCATTATGCTCTCCTTTATTCATTTTTTAACTCACTTTCTCCTGATAATATTGATTGGCTGACCTTTTGCTGATATGTGGTGGTCATGATATCTCTGAAATGGTCATCCTTCATTTTGGAACTGAGGGAGTGAATTTTATAGTGAAAGGATATAACAGAAATGTTCTATCTTGCCTCAACCTAATGTACATAGAGTGTACAACAAATCTTCTTCTGTGAAGAATATCTGCCATCTTCCTCTGGTCTATATGTGACTCTGGCCCAGAGAACCACTGAGTTACAACACTACCTTCTCAGACAATGAGGATCGTCAATAAATATCAGCAGCATCCACATCTCAAGAATGACTTTTTAGAAATGCAATTAAGAGAAACTGGTTCTTTTCTCCAAGTGAACATTTCTTCCATCAGTTACCAGTCTCGGCTATGGCACCATGGCAAAATACTACCACAAACACTCATCTCATAAAGTGGGTGGAAAGATCAAGGAATCCTTTTGTGAAGTGAAACTAGCAGAAGTGGAAAGATAGAAAATATCGTGAATAGAAAGGCCCATTCTCAAACAGAATAAAAACAAATAACTTGAAGGAGGACATTCAGCAACTGACACTGAGAAAAATCATTCATAGGACACAACATAATATATAAAGGAATAAGAGTAATCTACATTGGCTGGGCTTGGAGACTCAGAATCGCCTCATTCCTTGCTGTAGTTTCTTATACCAAAAGTGGACGAAATGGAAGCAAACACAGGAGCTTAAAAGTAGGCTAATTCTGAGACTTAAAGGCCGGTCAAAGAGCACTTGTACAATCAAATCAATTTCAGTTACTATAGCAATTACATATTTGGCACTCTTTAGATCAGCAAACTGCTATCAGTAAAAGTTCATTTTTCCTGGGTTCCAAGCTCATATTCAAACAGTAAAGTTTTCGACAAGACAGCAGTTACAGACTGTGCTAAATTCATTTAATAACTCCGGAAAAACATAGTCTTGGAGGAGTGCAGCAAGCTTATTTCTCCACCAAAAGGCTATGTCCGGTTTGACTAGGACTGGAGGAATGCTGTTTTGTCTGTCCGAGGAGGATTGCTACAAATGCCTTGTATGGTATTGGTGTCTGTAATGTTGCTTTACGATGTAAAATTGCTCAATGAATTATCTGTCAGCCAAGAACTTTGGTTGAAAAGAGGAAGTGAATGTTCAGTTATTAGTTTACACTGGGCCAATAAATGAAATTATTTAAAACAATATGGCTGAAACAAAAATATGAACATAGCCTTGAAATCATTTCCAGAAGTTGGCTATTTCTTCCAAAGAGCTATTATTCCATTATCTTATGGCACATACTGCTCTTCTATATTAATTTTGATCATAAATCACTTGGGTTCTGAAGTTTCAGGCTATTTTGTTGTTTTGTGCAACAGGCAAGTTAGTTGATGTGGCTCATCAAGACTTTTCTTCATTTATCAAATAACAGGGAATTGAGAGAAAGTGGTCCATCAATACTGCAAAGAACACAGCATGCCCAGCAGAGAACTAAATATAAGACATTACTCCAACTGATGAGTCAGACATGTTGAAGAAATGAATGCTTTCTGTTATAATGAGAACTGAGTACTGTTTAACTGATGCATGCATATAGCATACTCATCACAGTCTTCAGAAGCTTAGTTATGTTACAGTGTAAATAATATCGTGCTTTTGCAAATTTCAAGCCGGATAGTAAACAAATAGGCTGTGATATCTTGTTATTTGGCAATTTTCTCTTCATTCATCTTCTGTTCATGTTGCTTTATGGGTTTTGAATTTAAACTTACATTTGTACTTGTAGGGACTGTGGTTAGGGCAATAGAAAGGGAAAGAATAAACCTTCAATTGGTGCACTATTGGTTAGAATTTCTGCTGTAGTGAGCAGCTCTGTTTCATAGCATGTAATATGATGGATGGGTTATAATAATTGAATTTGTATCCAGTGGGAATTCAGAATGTCAACTATGGCTTGATGGTATAGCCATAATCTCTGCATTATCTGACCCAAATGCAAATTGGCATTGGCCATATCAGATTAGAGAGATAAATATCTGACTCAAAGGCTGCTTTGAGAGAAGTGAGTCCAGTTTGTGGGACACTGGCATAAATACTGAGGAATCTGTTCTATTGGGTTAGCCCCTACCTGAACTGTGCTAGGGCAGTGTTCTTGCCAACTACATAATTAGGGAAGTTGAGGGGTCAGGGACTGGTCATTCATGTCTAGGGGCTGTTTATTGAAGTTGGTCAGAAGTCTGGGGCCAACATAGTCCTGGGTGTTCGGACATAGGCCATTGAGGAGGGTACAAGAGGGAGGGTTAGGGAACTACTGCAAAATGGGTTGGGATTCAAGGCTGAAGGGTAAACCAGATGAATCACAAATACCTTACACTCACTCTATCCCTGCTCCTGTATCCACCTTCCAAAAAGGGTCATGCTGTACCACTCTCACCACTTCCTACAACGTCCCTCATTTGCTGTCATCCACCCCAATACCCAGAATCACTAACATTGCATGCCTTCTGTGCTGCCTGCTCACTTGCTCAGGAGACCTCCCCACCTGCACCAAGAGCAACAGTGTGTGCATTCAGAGTCTATCCCAATACCATCAAACTAGCTTTCTTGCTTCAGTAAATAAATCCTTTTTGGGATTACTTGCAGCAGAGGCTATTATGATTTTTGTACAAATTATCTTTCAGACCTGTTGAATAAATAATTAAGCCGACAAGAGTATTTAAATAAAACAGGTATTTGGCTGACCTGGGTTTGCTGAGGTCCAATTTCAATTTTTTCCAGTAGTTTTATAAGGAAGTTGTTAACACTAGTCCAAGGATATATGCTGTTGGAACCATCAAGTACAATCACAATATCAAGTCGTGACTTGCAAGCTGCAATTACAAGTTGTAGCACTTTTAAATTAGAAACAAACACCAACATTCAACAATATTGTGAAAGAATAGTACAATAACAAATGCAGGAAATTTAGAAATTCAAGCACAACTTGGATGTGGAAAAGGGAGATGGACCCAATGTGATGCCAGTGGGGTGTCTCACCAACCAGCAGCAGAAATTCGAGTTATTGTTTTTGGGTAGTTGCAATGACACTTGTGACTTAACAAGATATATGACGATTCTGTGCAACCGTTCTCTTTTTGGTAGAATCTGGCATGTAACGGTCTTTCCTTACTCTATCTAGATGCATCATGTTTGGTACGGCAACTGCTCTGCCCAGGGCTGTAAGAAACTACAAAGAGCTGTGAACACAACCTCGTCCATCATGCAAGCCAACGTTTCCATCCATTGATTCCATCTATACTTCTCATGGCCTCAGAAAGGCAGCCAACATTAAATATCCTTCTGATTCCGGTTATAATTTCCTCCAACCTCTTCCATTAGTGCATCAAAGTGCATCAGTGAAATAAGTGCATGCTCTAAGTTGCTTGGATATATACCACAATGATGTGAAGGAGTTTGTACATGTCGGATGCCAATTGCCTCTGGATGTGGAGTGCATGTAGTTGCTGCCTATAAAGTGTGGTCTGTGCCACACATGTGCCACATGTCCAAGAAGGAGTTTCAGAGGAGCCAGCAGTGAGCAGGAGTTGGCACATACCTGCTCTGATTTTCATATCAGGAATTCTCAGTGTCCGGTTTCTATCCGGCAGAATGGGAGAGTGTGTATTAACGAGGTAAGACTTGGTAATGATGAGGTTAATGATGAGCAATAATCTACACTAATAGGTCTCTCACTGCTCACAAGTTACAAGCTCATTTTGACATCAGTCTTGGTTGGAAAATGCAATTTTTTTGGTCTCAATGTCAAGAAGGGTCTCACGCAACATCTTGCTGGATTTTCCCAAAATTTCTGCTGTAGTTCAGGGCCCAGGACAATGCCGCACAATACACAAATTGTAAAGTAGACATTAAGACTGAACATTTTGAGTTATCTTGAAACTTAAAGTAATTCAAATGAATGAGAAAAGAAATGGCCAAGTGCAGAAGTGTTTGTAAAATACATAAATATAGTATTACTTTGAAAAAAAACATAAACAGATCAATATGAGTCAGTGCTGATAAATATTTATGGTCATGCTCATGCATCTAGGTTTAAATCTTAAAAGAAATGAAAATGTAGGGGTATGTAATACCTCCATTCATGTTGTTGCAGCAGTATTATAAACATGTTAGCAAAGATTTTTTTCAGATAAAATCAGTAATACAAATATTGTAGGAGGTCTTGTGTGGTGTCAAAGGTTTGCTAAGACACTGGTTTGGCATTCTTGACAATGCTGACAAAAACCACAGTCCAGTGGCCTGTCAAATTCAGGTTCACCTTAAGTTCATGAATTGAGTGGAAAAGTGTGTAACATTTTCTCTCAAGGAAGAAGAAATATAGTGTAATTTCAGCAAAACTGCAAAGAATATGCATCTCCTGCTCCTTAACTCAGTACAATTCAAAGTAATCTAAACTTTCTTTTCCTAAATGACCGAACAGATATGGTGTGACTCTGAGACATCTATCAGATTGTACTACTGAGCACAGTAGCATCAAATTGGCGACTGTGGAAGTCAGACCACCCTCTTTGGTTTATGTTGGAAATATACTTACCCATTCATTTTCAATTTAGAAGGAAATATGTGGAAAGCAAACCTTTCAGTACTGGCTGGACTTTGCCACAAAGGATATCAGAACGTAGGAGTTGGATGTATCAGCATTTTATGCAAAGACAAGCCGTGCTGGTTGCCAGAAGTGTTGTCACTTTTGTGTAAATTTTCCATTTTTCAGGAAGGACCGTTACTTGCTGGGAAATGGTGTGATGCAACTTATCTCATTATGCATCCACTTTAGTAGTCCTTTTTCTTAAATCTGCAATTTATCCAAGAGCCATGGATTCCTCTGACAGCACAGTGGGTCTACCTACAGCACATGGGTGCACCAGTACAACGAGGCCTTCACCTGCTGAAGAGCAGTTAGAGATGGGCGATAAATACTGGACTGTCCAGCAACATAAATCCGAAAAATAAATAAAAAGGATCTGGAAAATATCTTATTTTGTCAGGTAGGTATTACATTGTTGCAGCATTGGAACAGTTAACTGAAAAAACGCAAGTCTTCAGTATCTAACTGCAATGTTTTTGTGAGCTCAGTTATATCCAGTACACTCAGTCATTTCTTGACACCACATACAGTGAATTCACTTAAGGCTGGGGACCTGGATTTTGAATGAATTAAGCAGCTTGCTTTGGACCAATAGGCAGCTTTCCATCTAAGCTGCATGGGCATATGGCAGCACAGCTGCTGGGCAGCTTCACTCACATCAGAGTGGTGTGCTTATGAATGGCTTGGGCACCTTCAAGCCATTGCTGTGTATGGATCCTGGAGCTCTGTGCAGTGGCCAAACAAAATCTAGAGGGAACACTGTCAGTGGTATGGACACTTAAAATTGAGGCCACTTGCAAAAAAGTTTCATGAGTTAATTCTCCTCAAAAACTCAATGTGCTTTCCAATTTGGACTTACGTTGAAGAACAGATTGCAGCATGACCACAGCAGGCAGCAAGTTTGGCTGGTGATTAGAAGTCAATGCACAGGCCCATAAACTGTGGGGAGCTAGGTGTCTCCAAACAGTCCCAGACCAGAGAGAGATAACAGTGAAGGAAATACCCCAAAGACAAGCTGGAGAAAATCAGGAGGCCAGGCAGAGAAAACTGAACTATTCCCTGCTCAAATAAATGGTATCAGTTAAGAAATGAATGGAAAACTACCCCAAGTGTTTCCATTGCAGGAAGCCCAAGTGTATAAAGGAAAACTGTTTCCACACCACAGATCTATTCTGCACCATTTTATCATTTGTTTTTTGGAAGTCAAGTTGCACCACATCAGCAGCACTACCCTCAGCAAAACTCTCTGTTATCTCTTCAAAATACAGCAGCAAATTACTTAGACAGAGTTTGCCTTTAGCAAATCAATGACGACTTCCTTAATTCACACTCATTTATTAAAATGACTATTATTTTTGTTCCAAATGATTGTTCTAAAAGCTTTCCCCACCATCAATACTAAACTGACTCGCCTGCAGTTGCTAAGATAAAAACAGAAACTGGTGGAAATACTCGGCAGGTCTGTCATCTGTACAGAGGGAATCAGAGTTAACATTTTGCCTCAAATATTACTCTTCACAATTCGGTTCTGAAGAAGTCTAGTTACACGTCCTTAATATTCAATATGAAATCTTAACTTTGTTTCCATTCATAGATGCTCCCGTTACAACCTGATCAGGTTCACCTGAGCTGTTCTCAGCCTGCAGACTAGCAAGTGCTTCGCGCAAACTGAATTAAACTATCACTACCACCACTATTGAATTCCACCATTTGCCATGGCAGGATTCAAACTCGAATCATTGGTCTCTGGATTAACAATCCAGCAATAATACCATTAGGCGATTGCCTCCCCATGTATGCACATGCATTCTAGATGTCAATCGAATCTGGCTCAACTATGACTTCTGTCATGGGGCTGTGCCATGACAAAACTCACTTTCATTTCTAACCCATAAATAATTGTCTTTTTGGATCAAGAAGAGGAGGATAACAATAACCTAACGACCACAACCAATGCAGCACAATTGAATCAGCGTAATTAGAAGGGGCAGGGGGAGCAAGTGTGGGAAAAAGATGTTGAAAATGATGTTTTATGTAAAATTCTCAGCAAAATCTGTTTTCACTTTTGATATTGCTAATGTATCCATCCATCAACCACAATTAGTTCATATGGAAGGGGAGGTGATGGCGTAGTGGTATTATTGCAAGACAATTAATCCAGAGACCCAGATAACATTCTGGGTACCCAGATTCGAATACTGCCAGGGCAGATGGTGGAATTTGAATTTAATAAATATCTGGAATTAAGAATCTAATGATGACCATGAATCCATTGCCAATTGTCGGAAAAGTCCATCTGGGTCACTAATGTCCTTTAGGGAAGGAAACTGCCATCCTTACCTGGTCTGGCCTACATGTGACTCCAGACCCACAGCAATGTGATTGACTCTCAACTGCCCTCTGGGCAATTAGGGATGGGCAATAAACGCTGGCCTAGCCAGCGATGCCCTCATCCCGTTAATGAATAAAAGATAGAAGTTATAAGCATATGAGAGATGAGGACACTGCAGGGATATTTTCCTCACAGTCATTCAATAAGACATTTGTGAGGTGGAATTTAATGGCTCCTTCCTCTTTGGGGTCTTGGAGGGCCAGCTAAACGAGGCGTGGGGTTGAGTGATCGTTGCCTGCCACAGTCCCCTCATTTAAGTCAGAGACAGGGAAGCCTGAGATTGGTTTTGCTGCCACAGGATCATGTAAACAAAGATCATGTAAAGGCATCATTCTATTGTCACTGGGGACCAAGTTTTGGGACCAGTCCCTCAGGCAGCCTGCCTCTATGCTCAGATAGGGGTTAGGGTCCTCCTGCTTGGGCACCCTATGGTGCATGATGGGTTGCATTGCTGACAGAGACGGACCCCACTATAAGAGTCACCCTGCCCTCCATACTGTCCTCCCCACCTGTGCTGAGATCTGCCTGACTTGCTCCTGACAAGCCCGCCCATTCATTTTCTTCTTGGGCCTCCATCGCTCACTGCTGCTCCCGCTGTCTCAAATCCATGGCCTCTGCTCTTAATATCAGTGCTGGGGCTGAAGGCCTGATCGTCTGCTGACTGGATGGCAACTCTTAGATGCAAGGTCCTATACTTCAGAAGCACAAGAATCCTGAAGCTAGGAGTTTGACCGCCCAATAGACATTTTAACTTCATCAGGGCTTCTACAGCATGCTGCAGAGATGCTGTCATTGGCTTCTGGCCTGTGCTTGAGACTGCTGTAAATTTACTCCACAGTGCTGTTCAAGTAGAGAACAAACATTGGGAAAATGTGGAACTTGTTTTGTCATTAACTTTCATGTGGAACAAATGGATTGACTCTCTAAAGGCCTTGCTATTGCCATTAAATGAGAGGCTGGGGATGAATTAAGCTTCAGCCCTATCCCAAATATTTGGTAAAGACACAGGTAGAGTTTTGCATCATTGAAGTCACAGCTAAATCCATTCATCAAACATGATTTTAACAAATATTAACAGTGGTAATACTAAAATTGATAAATTGGCACATGGCAGAAATTATATTACACTCTTTCGTATTTACTTAGCATTCCATTATTGTCAGAATGAATATTATTGGGAAAGAGGTTTTTAAAAAAGTTCAAATGTCTGTTAAATCTACTTGAAAGGAACAGACAGAAAAAAAATGTTAAAATGAATTCCAAGCATTGCTTAGGAAAAATTGCTTTAAGCTGTGGTTTGTTATAAATTAAACAATCAAAACACCAAAAATACATTTGTAGTTTGCTGTGACTTGTACAAAAACCTGATGCAATAAATGAGCCAGAACAATACCAAAGCAAAATACATACATGCTGGAAACCTGAAATAAAAATAGAAAATGCTGAATTACTCAGCAACTCTGGCAGTATTTTTTGGAGAGACAGAAACAGATTTTCATGAGCGTGTGAATGCAGCTTTTGTTTCTTTACTTGTCCAAACACCACTCCCTTTGGCTCCCAATCTTCTCCCTATCACAGAGCTTTAATTCTTTTGTCTCTCTTCTGCTTTCCTTTTGCAGGAACCCAATGACAATTTTAACCTTTTTGAGTCCTAATGATTGCAGTGATTGCAAACTTTAACTCTTAAACTGAATCTGAAATGTTAAACTCTCCCTGTCTGCAGATACTGCCAGACCCACTGAATGTTTCCAATATTTACTGATTTCTTTTGCATCTCAGTGTTAGTTTACTTCTGGGTCATATTGAGCAAGTCTTTATCAGATTATTTCATGAAGAGAATTTTCTTGAGAGACAGCATATGTATAGTCTTATATTAATCCATCAATTTAAAGATTAATGCTATTTGCCTGTGTTTCAATTTTACAGATTTGGACATCATTTCTCAATGTAAGAGCCAGAAAAAGACCAATTCAGAGTATCAACATTCTTGTGAAAGTGCACATACATATATAGATAAATTTAAAAGATGCTATTACCAATTGTGGCAATAACACCTGTAAGTGTTATATCTGCTGAGCAAGCTTCTTTTAACATCACTGTTTGTTTTTTGAGCATGTCCCTTTATGGGAAATGTTTAATGAAAAATAATCAAACAATCTGTAGGTTGCTTTTGTTCCGGAATATGGAGACTTCTTTCCCTAAATTGGAAGTTCTGTTGAACACAAATGCCATATATGTTCACTTTATTGATATCTGTTAAATCACACAGAATCAAGCTCTTTGGCTTACATACCTTTCACTGTAGGCGCTATTGTGTTTATAGCTTGGAAAGTGGAGCTTACATTCAAACAGGCACCAGCCGCATAATATAGACCTCCACACTTGTAAGAATAAAGTGGCCCACATGTCTGGAATTTAAAAAAGAACACTAATAAAGATATTTTAGAATATCAGTAAAACAGTATATGATCTTTTCCTTCTCCTTCCCCTGAATTTCTTTTCACACCCTGTGATTAGTGTTTACTCAATCTTGGTAAAGTTTATAGGAGCTTAGTATCTTCTCATAAGTTAGTAATTGTGACCATTCTAAATGTGTGTACTGAGACAGTGAGGTTAAACTACTTAACCATGGAGGCATCACAGCCCAAATCCATTCTATCTGACATTAATACAAGACACTAAAGCACTTGTACATAGCCAATCTAGACTGTGTGGAGGGGCACAGTTCGCTGAAGCTAGTTACATGAGGCAATGGGGTATGGGCAGAGGGGCATATCTTAGCATGAAAAGCACGAAGAGCCATGATAGATGGGTAAGGGGTTGGCAAAGCGTCATGGGTAAAACCTTTTGAATTTACCCATTTAAATGTTCCCTCATCCAGCCTGCAGTTCAGAGGGACCACGAATTATGATTTCTTGAAAAATTGGCTGAACTTCACAAAACTGAAGAGGGCTAGCAGATGCCTTTTCCTGCAATTCTGGCCAGGTTGGGGGTTTAAAGTACAGGCCCAGACCTGCATCAGACCATATCCTTATCCTGCCTTCATCCTGGGAATCCTAAGAGTGAGTCCCACACCCCATCTTTAAAAGTTATTGGAGCCTCTCCAACTCTGTGAAAATTCAGCCTGCTGTGTTTTTGAGGGATGTCAATGAGAAGAAGAGTTTGATAAACAGGCGGAAGTCAAGTATAGATGCTTTTGATAATAAAAAGAGAAATGACTGTCTGGTTGTCCAGCTCTCATCTAATTCATTAAGAAAAGAACCACCCAGCTGAACATTGAAGGAGAGGCGATGGAGGAGGATAGTGTGGTGAACTGTGCAGGCAGGTCGAGAAAGGTGGAAAAGAATAGTTTACCTTTATCACAGCCACAATGGCTGCCATTTCTGACTTTAGAAAGGGCTATTTTGATACATGCCAGAGCAAGAACCTGATATAGGGATACAAACATGGATTCCAAGAAGTTGGGCCTGGATTTGGATGCAATAACACATCCTGAGAAAGAGAACCATTACCAATATCACATATCATAAGGATCAGGAGAAAAGTTGGGCGATCAATAATTTATTGGAAATAGTGTTAAAGTACCAAGAGGTGTGTTTCAAATAATGGGCTTAATAGATGTCTCAAATTAATGAGAAAGCAACAGCAGAGGTAGACATCACATAACTGTGGCAATCCAGCTAGTACATTAGTCATTCACAGGATGTGGGCGAGGTCAGGATTTATTGCCATTTCCAGCTGCCCTTGACAAGGGACTGGGGATCAGCCTTCTTGAACTGCTGTAGTCCATGTGGAGTTAAGAGAAGAGTTCCAGGATTTTGAACATGCGACAGTGATGGAATAGCAACATAATTCCTATTAGGCTGGTGTGTGGTTTAGAGGGGAACTTGCAGATAGTGGTGTTCCTGACTATTTGTTGTCCTTGTTCTTTGAAGAGTTAGATGCAACACATTTAGGAAAAGCTGTTGAAAGAGCCTTCGTGCATTGGTGAGTATACTATATACAAATACGTTCATCCAAACATTCCCTTTCTCATAAAGAAATCAAAAATAAATTACAGACACTGCAATTTGCAGTTACAATTACTCAAGGTACTCATATACATTGTTAACAAAGAAAAATGATTATTCATGAACAAAACTATGGTATTTTTAGTCCAGAGATAGTAGGAACTGCTGATGCTGGAGAATCTGAGATAACAAGATGTGGAGCTGGATGAACACAGCAGGCCAAGCAGCATCAGAGGAGCAGGAAGGCTGACGTTTCGGGCCTAGACCCTTCTTCAGAAATGGGGGAGGGGAAGGGGGTTCTGAAATAAATAGGGAGAGAGGGGAAGGCGTATAGAAAATGGATAAAGGAGAAGATAGGTGGAGAGGAGACAGACAGGTCAAAGAGGCGAGGTTGGAGCCAGCAAAGGTGAGTGTAGATGGGGAGTTAGAGGGGGGATAGGTCGGTCCAGGGAGCAAGGACAGGTCAAGGGGGTGGGATGAGGCTAGTAGGTAGGAGATGGGGGTGGGGCTTGAGGTGGGAGGAGTGGATAAGTGGGAGGACAGGCTAGGGAGGCGGGTACGAGTTGGGCTGGTTTTGGGATGCGGTCGGGGGAGGTGAGATTTTGAGGCTTGTGAAGTCCACATTGATACCGTTGGGCTGCAGGGTTCCCAAGCAAAATATGAGATGCTGTTCCTGCAACCTTCGGGTGGCATCGTTGTGGCACGGCAGGAGGCTCAGGATGGACATGTCGTTCAAGGAGTGGGAGAGGGAGTTGAAATGGTTCGCGACTGGGAGGTGCAGTAGTTTGTTGCGAACCGAGCGTAGGTGTTCCACAAAGCGGTCCCCAAGCCTCCGCTTGGTTTCTCCGATGTAGAGGAGGCCACAATGGGAACAGCGGATACAGTATACTACATAAGCAGATGTGCAGGTGAACATCTGTTTGATGTGGAAGGTCTTCTTAAGGCCTGGGATGGGGGTGAGGGGGGAGGTGTAGGGGCAGATGTAGCACTTCCTGCGGTTGCAGGGCAAAGTGCCGGGGGTGGTGAGGGATAACACCCCCTCCCCGCAATAATAACAAAACAGAACTCCCCCCGTCCTCACGTACCACCCACCAACCTCCGGATCCAACGCATCATCCTCCGACACTTCCGCCATCTGCAATCCGACCCCACTACCAAAAACATTTTTCCCTCCCCACCCTTATCTGCTTTCCAGAGGGACCACTCTCTCCGTGACTCCCTTGTCCGCTCCACACTCCCCTCCAGTCCCACCACACCCGGCACTTTTCCCTGCAACTGCAGGAAGTGCCACACCTGCCCCTACGCCTCACCCCTCACCCCCATCCCAGGCCCTAAGAAGACCTTCCACATCAAACAGATGTTCACCTGCACATCTGCAAATGTGATATACTGTATCCGCTGTTCCCATTGTGGCCTCCTCTACATCGGGGAAACCAAGCGAAGGCTTGGGGACCACTTTGTGGAACACATACGCTCGGTTCGCAATAAACAACTGCACCTCCCAGTCGCGAACCATTTCAACTCCCCCTCTTTGAACGACATGTCCATCTTGGGCCTCCTGCAGTGCCACAACGATGCCACCTGAAGGTTGCAGGAACAGCATCTCATATTTCGCTTGGGAACCCGGCAGCCCAACGGTATCAATGTGGACTTTACAAGCTTCAAAATCTCACCTCCCCCGACCGCATCCCAAAACCAGCCCAGCTCGTACCCACCTCCCTAACCTGTCCTCCCACCTATCCATTCCTGCCACCTCAAGCCCCACCCGCATCTCCTACCTACTAACCTCATCCCGCCCCCTTGACCTGTCCGTCCTCCCTGGACTGACCTATCCCCTCCCTAACTCCCCACCTACACTCACCTTTACTGGCTCCAACCCCGCCTCCTTGACCTGTCTGTCTCCTCTCCACCTATCTTCTCCTTTATTCAAGTTCTATCTGCCTCCCCCCTCTCCCTATTTATTTCAGAATCCCCTTCCCCTCCCCCATTTCTGAAGAAGGGTCTAGGCCTGAAACGTCAGCCTTCCTGCTCCTCTGATGCTGCTTGGCCTGCTGTGTTCACTCAGCTCTACACTTTGTTGTCTCATATTTTTAGTCCATGCAACTTTCGTCAGTCTCTGCACGCGCATTTCATCTGTTATCTCTAAAATTTTCAAGTTTAATGAAATTTCAGTGATTTATTCTCCCTGGAGACCAAGGATGACCTTCTTCCGCTCCAGAGTTGTGAGTCTTGAGGTGGCTAAATGGTCCAATGCTGGATCTTCATACCCTGCCACTAATAGGGCAGGTAGTATTTGCAGAGCTGGGTGGGTGAGTTGTTCAGGTTTTTTGCATGCTGCTTCCACTGTTTGTACTTGGCCTGAGCAAGACAGCAATTCACGAGACATTTGGCACCTTTTGGACATTTTTCTTCCAGTTTGGATGGTCTTGGGCGAAAGATTCCCACACAACAGTGAGATATTGTATTTCTTTTCATGGGGGTTTTGATGATCATCTTGAAGTGTTTCCCTGCCTTCCTAACAACTGCTTGCCACGATGAACCTCAGAGTAAAAGAGCTTTGGATTGGAATTCATGTGTCAGGCATGCTGACATGTCTGATTGACAGTAACCAATGGTTCAATGTTGGAAATGCTGGCCTGAGAGACCATCCTCATATTGGAGTATCATTGGAGTTTCAATTCCATCATGGCAAATCATGAAATTTGAATACATAAACTAAAATCTGAAATTAAAAAGTAATGTTGCTCATGAAACCATTTTTTAAAAAAGATTGTGAAACTGCCATCTAGTTCACTAATGGATTCATAGTCATCATTAAACTCTTAATTCCAGATATTTATTAGATTCAAGTTCCACCATCTGCCATGGCAGGATTTGAACCCATGTTCCCAGAACATTATCTGGGTCTCTGAATTTCCAGTCGAGCAATAATACCACTAGGCCATGGCTTCCCCCTTAATTCTCAACTGAAATGGCCTATCAAGCCACACAATTGTATCAAACCAATATAAAGTCTAAAAAATGAAAAATAAGACAGGCCACCTTCACAACAACATTGGTCCAAATATGGGCAAAAGAGCTGAATATCAGAGGTGAGAAGGAAGCAACTGCCCTTGACTGAGTGTGGCATCAAGGCGCCCTAGCAAAACTAAGAACAGGAGGAAAACTCTCCCCTGGTTGAAGTCATACCTAGCAGAAAGGAAGATATTTGTTGGAAGTCAGTCATATCAGCTCCAGGACATCTCTGCAGGAGCTCCTCAAGGTAGTGCCCTCGGCCCAACCATCTTCAGCTGCTTCATCAATGACCTTCCCCTCAGGGTGCAGAAGAGGCTTACAGGGTACAGAAGAGATTTACCAGGATGCTGCCTGGATTAGAGGGTATGAGCTATAAGGAGAGGTTAGAAAAACTAGGGTTGCTTTTTTCTCGCGTGGTGGAGGGTGAGGGGAAATTTGTCAGAAGTCTATAAAATTATGAGATGCATAGATGGGTTTGACGGTCAGAATCTTTTTCCCAGAGTTGAAATGTCTAATACTAGGGGCCATGCATTTAAGGTGAGAAGGAGAAAGTTCAAAGGAGACATGAGGGGCAAGTTTTTTAAACAGAGAGAGTCTAGAATGCACTGCCAGGCATGGTGGTTGAGGCATATACGATAAGGGCATTTAAGGGACTTTTAGACAATGACATGATTATACGAGGAATGGAGGGACATGGACCAAGGGCAGAGAGAAGGGATTAGTTTCATTTGGTGCATATTTCGACACAACATTGAGGCCGAAGGGCCCATTCCCATGCTGTTTATGTTCTATGTTCTATCATAAGATCCTGGATTTCCTTTTGAGCAGCACTTGGGCTGCAGATGTTCAGAAGGCAGTTCCCCACCACATATTCCAAAGCAATTAGGAATGGGGAATAATCGCTGGTCTAGCCAGCAATGCCCACGATTACATTCCAAGATCAAATTGGAAAAAAGGAGAATAATTTGGAGAAAATTGTCAGGAATCAAGTTAGGAATAAAAGCTCATGAGAAGTGACCTAAAATGCAGAAGAAATTTAATGCGTTTTTCATGAGCTGAGTGCATATCTGCTCAAAGTAAACAATGACTGACATAACACACTATTATCCTGGCTATTCATTGAATATTTTCTCTATAGTTACATCATTTGCCACTGCAAAATTTTCATCAACAATTTTCACTTTGCATTCAAAACTTGTCATTGTGATTGGTGCAGAGTTCACATCTTGTACTTGACAGAGAAAAAAGAGAACATTGAGGTATTTTTGTTTTTTTTTTCTGTATTCAGTGGAATTGAAGCAAGTCCTATTTAGGAGTGTCTTAAATACATTTAAAATGTAACTTAAGTTTCTTACCAGAAAGCCTGCTTTAGGATTTAGTGCCAATGACATCCCCAAAGTCATATTCTCTTTAACTTCAGTGATATCAGGAACAGTTAAAAACTCTGTAAACAAAAACAATGGGCATAGTATGTATAAATGTACATTTTACAATATTATTGAGATCTATCAGACATTTTGCAGTCTGTTTATGTGCTATCATCTATAGACTTATTTAGTACTTTTTTGCCCTCTATTAGACAAGAGAAGGAAGAAAATTGAAGGAAGTCACCCAGTACCATCACCTCCCATTTTCTCTCATGATCACCTATACAGGATTAATGTGCATTACATAGGAGTACAATTCCACAGTTTTCATTTATGTCCTATACCTGCTCTAAGTGACCACCTTTTTTGTCTGAGAGTGCATTTTGAATTTTGACCAGAGGGTAACGTCATGACCTCTCTCTTCCTCTGTACACATAGTTCTGGTACTGGAAAGATTTTGAAGAGTAAATCATGCAAACAAGCATTTTATTCAAGCTAATGTACATGTTAAATACTTGGATGTCTGCTGTAAGCTCTGCCATCTGCCTCAGATCTTCCAAGGTGGTTCTCAGCAGTTGCATATGTATGTAAAGATCATCCATCAAATTTATTTTTATAACAACATTCCAAAAATCCAAGTTCACAGGATCCAGGGGTCACTTTTGTGAAAAATCTTCCCCCAAACTGTCAAACATGGTTCATGTCTGCTAAATTGATACAGTGACATTGTGAATATGTAACTTGACTCATAATCCAGATTTGAACTTCATAATCCAAAGACAAAAACTCAAATGTCAGCATGGTGGCTGAGGAATTTAAATTCAGCTAATAAATAAATCTCAAAACCAAAGTAACTATAGTAATGGTATACATGAAAGTACTGGATTGTTGTAAGGTCCATCTGGTTCACTAATGTTCTTTAGGGATGGGCATAGACTGTTTCATGCCCAGTTTGGGCTCATATGTGATTTTAGATTCGTGGAAATGGATCTATCTATTAATTGCCCCCTAAAATGGCCTGGTAGATCGACTAATTGTATCAAACTGCTTTGAGAATAAGAATGAAGCCAGGTGGGCCATGTGACATTGACCAAGATACCTAGGACATAAGCATGTCCAGACTAATTAAACTTGCACACCTCCTCACTAATACCTGAGGACTTGTGCCAAATTTGGGTAAACAATTTTACAGGTTAGTCGACCAACAGTCTAACATAGACATATATAATAGAATCGTACCAATGTTCCAGGAGCCCAACATCATCAGCCTGCAATATGTCCAGCAGGGCCAACCTACCAGAAGTTGTGGCACATTGGCACATAATTGGGATTGATTTTGGATATCCTCAATGTACTACTAATTTATTACAGTAAATTCCCATACATGTTTAGCCTCTTTTAATTTATTTTTGCATGGCCACGTACTTGCAATAATTTAAAGGAGACCAACTTGTCCGCAGCCTGGGCAGTAAAACTTCAGGTTTGTGCAGGTGCATTACTGAAGGGGAGCATTTATCTGAATTTCATGATATTTCCGTGTATCAAGTCAAACATAGGCAAGAAAATCTGTTTATCAATGCTCCCCCCACCTTATGCTTGCTGTGCACAGTAGTTATTGCATTGCATGGTCCCATTAAAATTGTTGTAATTGATATCTAGAATCACAGATTTGTTACGGTGCAGAAAGGAGCTATTTGGCCTGTCTTGACTGCATCAGCTCTCTGAGCATTTTAACTTACTGCCACCCTCCTGCACTTTCCCCATTGCCTTTCACATTGCCGCTATTTAAATAATCATCCAATTCCCTCTTGAGAATTTCAATTGAACTTGCTTCCACTGCATTTCCTGGCATTTCATATCTGAACTACTCATTGACTGAGAAAGCTTTTTCTCACATTGCGTTTGTTTCTTTTGCAAAACACTTTAAAAGTGTGCCTCTGGTTCTTCATCCATTTATGGCTGTGAACAGTTTCTCTTTATCCACTCTGTTCAGACCCTGAAAACTTCTATCAATTCTCCTCTTAGCCTTTTCTTCTCCAAGGAAAACAGTCCCAACTTCTCTGATCTTAACTTGTAACTGAAATGTCTCGTCCCTTGAATCAGTTTCAAACACCTCTTCAGTGTGTACTTCAATTATATACATCCTTCCAACAGTATACTATCATTAGATATGTCCCCATACAGATCAGTGGGCTTTCCAATCAAATGCATGAAAATATGAAATCAGAGATGAAGTATACCATTCAGAACATTGTGTTAAATGAATAGAATCTGCTTTTATGATGCTATCCTTTCTCTGGCTGACAGCTTATATAACATTTCCAACCACTTCAAATTCGTGATTATGTTAATATCAACACTCTTTCAATATTGAGTCCGAGGCTGTAAAGTGCCTAAGTGGAAAATGAGGTGCTGTACCTCCAGCTTGTTTTGAGCTTCATTTGAACACTATAGCAGACCAAGGACAGAAATGTTAACATGATAGCAAGATGGTTGTTGAAATGGCAAGCAATTGAAAGGTCAGTGCTATTTCTATGGACAGAGTGGAGATGTTATGCAAAACTGTCACCCAGTCTGCATTTGCTTTCACCAGTATACGGGAGATTGCATTGTGAGCCGTAAATAATCTAGATTGCTGAATGCAGACAGTGGAAAGGAGCGGAAGATGAAACATGCAAGATTCTGTGAGAACTTGACAGGGTAGTTGTTGAGAAAATGTTTCCACTTGTGAGGAATTTTCAAACTAGTAGGCGTAGTTACACAATAAGGGGACACTCATTTAAAACGGAGATGCCAAGGAATTGCTTCTGCCAGAGGGAAATGAATGTCTGGAATTTTCTATCCCAGAGAGTTGTTGAAGCTAGATCACTTAAAGAGGAGGTAAATAGATTTTTGGCATCTTCATGAGTTGAGAGCTTTGCTGAGCTGACATGAAAGAGGGGTTGAGGCCTGGGGCAGATCAGCCATGATCTTGTTGAATAGTTGTTAAGGCTTGAGGGGCTGAGTGGCCTACTCCTGTTCTGATTTCTACTTTCTTATGTTTTATCGCCTCGCCAGAGGTGCAACCTCATCCATGGTATATATCATCTTAAAAATGCATGCAACAATTTCCCAAAGCTTCTCAGACAGAACCTTCTAAACCTGTAATTTCTTACCTGGGAGACAAAGAACAACTGCATGTGTGAGTATCGTCATCTGCAATTTCTCTCCTCGTCACACACTACCCTGACTTGGAACTATGTTGCCATTCCTTTACTGTCACTGAGTCAAAATCCTGGAACTCTCTTCCTAACAGCCTCATGGGTCTACCTATATAAAACTGATTCAAATGGTTCAAGAAGCCAACTCAACACCACCAATAAGGAATGGACAAAAATGCCAGCCTTCCCACCAATGCTCACATCCCACGAATGAATAAATACAAATAATGAATTTTAGTGAGATTTAATGAATGATTAAGTGATGTACGGAGAATATACCGACAAGGGAAGCTTGGAACTTTTAGTGAGATTCAACTTCCTTCTGATTTGCAAAGATACCCTGTGGTTCAAAGAGGTGATACTCACTTCTACAGCTAGCTTTCTCTGTACAGCCCCTCTTCTTCATTATGATGGTCTTGAGGTGGGCAACGGATTTGCATGCCAACCCATGATCATTACAAAACTGGCTCATTTCACTCATTAAAAACCAAAAGAACTGCAGATGCTGTAAATCAGGAACAAAAACAGAGGTTGCTCGAAAATCTCAGCAGCTCTGGTAGCATCTGTGAAGAAAATATCAGAGTTAACGTTTCGGGTCCGGTGACCCTTCCTCAGAACTGAGTTAAACAGAGTTCTGAGGAAGGGTCACCAGACCTGAAATGTTAACTCTGATTTTTTTTCTTCACAGATGCTGCCAGACCTGCTGAACTTTTCCATCAGCTTCTGTTTTGGTTTCTCATTTCACTCATTTATGGATAATTTCCCAGGTAGGACAAACTTTGGTAGGATTTTTCCACCAAGAAGGTGAATGCTATGGGATGGGAATATATACTTGCAGCAATAGAGAGTCAGCTAGGGGTTTAAAGGTCAGTGCACTCGGGTCCTTGAATGAACTTTGGCTTCTTGGTACTGCTGCTTTTGTTCACGTTGTCACATTTATCAAGGTACCAGGGGAGCAGATGCAAACAGACGGACAAAACAAAACTGGTGGGGAAGTAAAGCCCTATTGGCATTTATTGAGTGTGTCAATAATCTTAGGAAATGGAGCTTGAGGTGAGAATGCAACATTAATCAGCCTTATTGCCTGATAATTTTGCCATTTTACCACGCTGGAAAAAAAACTAGCCCAACCTGTGAGCTAGGCCCGAAACGTCAGCCTCTCTGCTCCTATGATGCTGCTTGGCCTGCTGTGTTCATCCAGCCCTGCACCTTGTTGTCTCCAATCTGTGAGTTATACTTTAGCCATTCCAATCTTTTTTTCTGAAGGTTGGACACCTTAATCATTTTTGCAATTACGAGTCTCCTTGTTTCCTGTCTAATATAGAAGAATCTCTGATCCGAATATTTCCTGCTTTGGGACTCAGAATTTTTCCTAAATCTCAGTACTTCCATACAGAACCAAATAGTTAGAACCAAGGTCTTAGTGAGGCTGCAAACCAAGTAGCAATTGATTAATTGGTTCCAGCAATAACGTTGTAGCAGGAAGTTGACATCAAACTGGAGCTGTTTGCTACAGGGAGGTATTTTATTCCTTTTCACGTGCATTGAATAACCAGTATGCAGAGACTGAGTATAGGTAGCCTATTATAATGGGCTTTGTTAATTATCACTGGCTCTACCTTGTGCAATTCAATTATTGCTTAGGGAGATTCAAAACCTTTCAGATTCAATGATGAAGTGGAGACATTTGAATCCTCAGTGCCAGTAGAAACTTTGTGGATGAGCCATCAAAATACTCCAGGTTTCTCATTGAAAAATCACCATTTCTGCTTTTAATAGAAGCTTTTTGACAGACATCTAAACCATCAGTCCAAAGTCGGCAATGTCTGACTGCACATAAGCTAATTGGGGACTTGATAACATCATCAGTCCCTGACAGCTATTTATTCAGCTGTTAATATCCTTCAATTCTATATTTTGTCACACAAATAAACTGAGCCGTTTAACTTCCTGCTTTTGAAATGCTCACTGAAAACATACCACTTCTAAGTCCATCATTGAACAAAAGATAATGACTGGGGCCCAATACTTTAATGAACATGAATACTGTCACAATGATTTTACGGAGAGAAAATATATTTTCATTTACCAGCTAAGTTTAGCTTCATACATTCTGGATTGCTAGTCTTGAATGTTGGACATTTGTAAACATCACCAGTTCTGTTTATGGGTTGCCCTTCCCAGGGAGAGCCAATAAGAAGCCTGAATACAAAAGAAAATAATAATCATGATAAGTTCACATCATCTAAATGTACACAATTGTGCAGTCAGAAATTCTGATCGTTAAAGTACATATTAGATGGAAAATATAACATATTTTCTATTCCAAGCACCAAATAATGGACCTGCAGGGAGAAACACCTGTTCACTTCTGTTAGGCCATTACTAATTCATTAAGTCCCATACCTATATTAAATTTGGCGCTAATCACTCACCAAATGAATAGCACTCAAGGCTGCATCATACATTATTCTGGCTAAGTCAGAGATGGCTTGAGTATTTTGGAAGAATTTTTGCCAAGATGCATAGCGAGATGTCCCCAGGTGAAGGATGTATGTGCGTGATACCCGTGGATTGCGTCGATGAGATGGTGGTGCCCGGCGTTCAACATGGAGGTCGTTCAGACCAACTGAAATTGTATTCTGGTTTAACTATCAAGTTTTCCTGATGTCAAGCTTGTTTGGAAAGTTTGGTAAAATGGGAATCTGAATATGAGTGAGGCAACTTGTGCTGTCAACAAGGTGCTTGGCAATCAATAATGACCTCCAATTAGCATCTCATCATTGCTTCATGAGAACCTCACCACTTCACTTGTATAAAGAATAAAACATGGAGCAAGATGTTGAGATGGGCCTTGAGGTACTTCTCAGCCAATTCTTTCATGCATCTCACCATATCCATGTCACTGAGACTCCTGTAATGTTCTACCTTTAAAGAAAAGTGCCCACGGATAAGTGTGTTGCAGCCTTGATAAAGCAGCACTTGCTTTATATAAGAGTACTAAACACAGCCTGGGCAACAGTTTGGAAGGGTTAAAATGAATGCTGCTTGAATAAGTAGAGGTGAGAATCTGTCAGCGAGCATCAAAGCACCACAGTGCGTCACACCTTAGCTTGGTGAGGACAGTCACATAGTGGTACTCTCGCTGAATTTGTAATTTGGATCCCCAAGCTAATGATACAAGGACAAGAACAGAAATTGCTGGAAAGACTCAGCAGGCCTGGTAGCATTGGTGGGAAGAAAACAGAGGTAACGTTTTGAGTCCAGTGACTACTCATCAGAACTGGGGACTTGGGTTCAAAATTCATGGCAGATGGTAGAAGTTGAATTCAATAAAAAATCTGGGATCAAAGAGCTAGTCTAATTGTGACCTTGGACCATCACTGATTATTATAAAAACCCAGTTGGCTCACTAATGTCATTTAGGGAAAGCAACCTGCCATTCTTAACTAACTAGGTCTACATCTGACACTGGGCCCATAGCAATATGGTTGACTCTGAACTATCCTCTGAAATGTCCTAACAAGCTACGCAGTTAAATCAAAACCACTTCAAAGTGTAAACTAAGGAGCAAAACCTGATTGACCTTTGGCATTAATCCGGGCACCAGAAATAGTAATAGCAAACTCAGTTCTGTTGCCCCTGCAAAATCATTCTTACTAATATCTGGGGGGGTGTGTGTGTCTGGGGGGATGGGGTGGTGCGGTGGGGAGCATGACAAATTTGGGAGAAGTATCCCACATATCAGTCAAGCAATAACTTGAGATGGGGACACAATGGCCTAGTGGTATTAACGCAGGACTGTTAATCTAGAGACCCAAATAATATTCTGGGGACCTGAGTTCGAATCCTGCCACAGCAGATGGTGGAATTTGAATTCAGTAAATATCTGGAATTAAGAATCTAATTATGACCATGAATCCATTGCCGATTGTCAGGAAAAAACCCATCTGTTTCATTAATGCCCTTTAGGGAAGGAAACTGCTATCCTTACCTGGTCTGGCCTACTTGTGACTCCAGACTCCAGACCCGCAGCAATGTGGTTGACTCTGAACTGCCCTCTGGGCAATTAGGAATAGGCAAATAATGCTGGCCTGGCCAGTGATGCCCTCATCCCATGAATAAAGGAAAAAAAAGCCACATTCACAGAGACATGCCTCACAGACAATGTCCCAGATATGGCCATCACCATCGCTGGGTACATCCAGTCCTACTAGAGATGGCAATGCATTGATATACAGTTGGGAGGTCATTGCCTTAGGAGTCCTCAACTTTGATTCAGGGCCACATGGCGAAGTCGAACATTGGCAAGAAACGTTCCAGCTAATTACTGCCTTGGATGATGAATCAGTACTCTTCCGTGTTGAATATCAATTGGAAGAAGCCAGCCTTGAGAGTGGCTCTGACTGTGAGACTGATGATTGATGTGGTCGAATTTTAAAGGACATAGCTGTAGACTTGGCCTGTGGAAAGTGGTGAGGGAACCAGCTAGAGGGAAAAACCTACTTGACATTGTCATCACCAATTTACCTTTCACAGTATTAGTAGGGAGATCGCTATAAACTCATTATAGAGAATAAAATTCTGTCTTCACATTGAGGACACACTCCATTTCGTGTGGCATTATCACTATGCCGAATAGAATAGACTTCCAATGGATGTAGCAACTTAAAGGCAAATGCCTGTGCAACATCACCAGCAGCAGAATTGCATTTAGCCAGAATATGTAATTTCAGAGCCTGGAATATTCTCCAATCTACCATTACCATCAAACCAGGTGATCATCCCCGGTACAACAAAGAGTGCAGGAGGGCACACCAAGTGCAGCATCAGGCATACCTTAAATGAGGTGTGAACCCGCTGACGCTATAGAACTGGACCACTTGCATGTGGAAGTAAATGCAATAGACAAAGCTAAGTGATGCCATTACACATGGATCAAATCTAAGCTCTGCATTCCTGCCATTTCCATAGTGAACGGTGGTGAACAATTAAACAGCCGCAAGAAGAGACGGGTCCACAAATATCCCCATCCTTAATGATAGGAGAGACCACTGAATCAGTTGAAAAGTTAAAGCTAAAATAAACACAAAGAACTAACGATGCTGGAAATCTGGAACAAAAACAGAGAGTGCTGAAGAAATTCAGTAGGTCTGGCAGCATCTGTAGAGAGTAAGTGAAGTTGATATTTTGAGTCCAGTTCCGATGAAAGGTCACTAGACTCAACTGTCAACTCAGCTTTCTCTGCAGAGATGCTACAGTGTTTCAGACCCACAGGGTTTCTTCAGAATTAACTGGTTTTGTAGAAAAGTTACAGCTGATAATTTCCATTCTTGTTCAGCCTGAAGTGCGGAGTCGATGACACATCTCGGCCTCCTCCTGAGGTTCCCAGCATCAAAAATGCTCGTCTTCAAGCAATGCAATTCAGCCCAAGTGATACCAAGACATGGCTGAATATAGACAAATTAAATGTACTCTATGTGTACCACCTAAACTCTGCAAATTAATCAGTTATAGTGATCAAGTCACAGAGTTATACAACATGGAAACGGACCCTTTGGTCCAATCAGTCCATGCCAACAATATTCCCAAACTAAACTAGTCTCAATTGCTTACACTTGGCCCAAGGCCATCCAAACCTTTTCTATTCATGAACTTATCAAATTGTCTTTTAAACGCTGTAACTGTATCCACATCCATCACTCTCTCTGGCAGTTCACCATCTGCGTAAAAAAGTTATCCCTCATGTCCCTTTTAGATCTTTCTCCTCTCACCTTAAAATATGGCCCCTAGTTTTGAATTCACCCATCCTAGAGAAAAGAATCTTTTCATTCACCTTATCTATGCCCTCATGATTTTATAAACCTCAATAACATCCCTCCTCCACCTCCTACGCTCCAGTGAAAAAAAGTCCCAGCTTTTCCAATCTATTTTTACATCACAAATCCTCCATTCCTGGCAACACCTTGGTAAATCTTTTCTGAACCCTCTCCAGTTTAATAATATCCTTCTGATAATAGGGTTACCATAACTGCATAGTAATCCAGAAGAGGCCTCACGAATGTCCTATACAATCTCAACATGACGTCCCTACTCCAAACTCAACGGTCTGAGCAATGAAGGCAAGCATGCTAAACGCCTTATTAACCATCCTGTCTACCTGTGATGCAAATTTTAAAGAATTATGTACCTGAACCCCTAGGTTTCTCTGTTCTACAATACTATCCAGGGCTCTACAATTAATTGTATTGGTCCTGTCCTTGTTTGTTTTACCAAAATACATTATCTCACATTTATCCAAATTAAGCATTTCCATGCTGTAGACCTCTGTGACTCTATAAACTTCATCTGTCACTCCTCAGACCATCGACGCTATTGATCAAGATCCCTTTGTAGTCTTAGATAATCTTCTTCACTGTCCACTATACCCCTGATTTGGTGTCATCTGCAAACTTTCACTGCCCAATAATTTGGACCAGATCCATGATATAACTGAAGGATTTGAATATTGTGTACAAGAGTGAAAACAAAGCTATTGGACAATTGAACACAGAAACTTGAATGCTGCTCTAAACATTGTGGAAACAATTTGCTGTTTCCATGGAACAAGTTATTGACTTTCAGATGAAAGTAGCAGCCATTCTCATCTCAGTCTCTCTGGTTGCAGGCTTCTCACAAATAATACAATCATAATGGATCTGAACTCTATTGGCATTTGAGAACAGAAGGATACTTATTTCTGAGGAGAGGGTCTGGTCTCATAAATGGCATGTTTCCCAACTATGTACTGATTCCAATCTCCAGAAAGGCAGTTAGAAATAAGCTACTGTACTTTAGAATTTTGGAGCTGGTTTCCAGCCCAAGCTTAATTGTATTAGACTATGATCAGGAAACAGTAACGCTGCAGTTTTTTTTTTCATTTGTTCTGGGATTGAAGAACAGATATTTTTTTTTGCATGGAGATGTATTAACACTATCCCCACTGAGGAAAGATTTACACATGCAATCTCAGCTAATCGCAAAGATATATTAACAAATTCACTAACGATCAGGGGATTGTATTCGGCCACCAGATGTTTTGAGCTTCCCAAATTAGTTTGTTACTCTTGCTATAGAATGTGGCAATGGATGAAGTAATCAGAAAATGGTATGGATATGTTTGAAAGTTGTGCAGAACCAAAAGGACCACTGCCAGAATGAAG